AGCAGGTGCTGCCACCTGTCCCGCCAGTGTTGCTGCTAAACTCAGACATTGGGCCCTTTTGTCGCCCCTCTGATTGCACTGGAAGAAAATCAGATCAGATACTGTCGTGGTGGTGGTAGCAGTGCAATCCCTGCTGACATGACCAGTTCGGCCGCACTTAAAGTAGCCCGAACTACCCGCCTTGCACGCCCCCTCGTGCATCTTTTCGCACTTGCCACAACGGTTGCGGCCCTGCTGGCTCCTCGATCTATCGTCTGATACCTTGGGCTTCTTTTCGGAACCTCCTGCCTGAACCCCATCCGGTTTCGTCTTCCTGTCCATCTCTAAATCCAACTCTCTCTCTCTCTCTCTCTCTCTCTCTTGCCCTCGCAATCATATCCTCCAGCGTCTTGCAGATGGAGCGGCTCACAAACTGGTGGATATCACTCTGCAACATCTCATGGTACTGGGCCTTTTTCATCTCCTCGTCTGCCACGTACCATGGAACGAGAAGGGCCCTCTCCCTAAACATAGTGGTGATCTCATCCACCATCTCAGTCATCTGCTGGAGATCCTGGAACTCCCTCACAAGCTGTTTCACCTCAATCACAGGTGCAAACTCGGCCCTGAACCTAGCCGTGAAAGCACTCCAGGTAATCGCATCAAGACCTGCATCATCTCTAATGGCATGTCCAACCTCCTCCCACCAATCACGTGCCCTGTCCTTCAGAAGGAAGGAAGCAAGTCGGACCTTGTCCCCCTCGGGACATCGGCTGGTGCGAAAGGCGTTGGCGACATCCGCCAACCACCTGCTGCTAGGAATGGGGTCCCTAGCCCCATGGTAGTCTGGAGCTCCACAAGCCCGAAATTCCCTGAAAGTCAGTGTGTGTGCCCCAACCATGGCCGCCATCTCTGTGCGGAATGCACTCAGCCTCTCATTAAGAATATCCATAATGCCCTCCTTGACCGTCCCAAAGATCACAGGAGTCTGGTCAATGATAATGTGCGTGATCTCAGATGAGATGAACTCCCCCATCTGATCGTCAAGCTACCCGACTCCAGAGCTCGGGCCTGATCCCTCGCCGTTAACTGAACTGCCAACTAGTCTAGTACATAGCATCACCATACTGAAAATACACCATAACACACATCAGAATACTCATCATATCGAGGGATCACATATACACTACAAGTTCCTTGGTTTTATCTCAGCCCTCCTTGACTCGAGTACGGATCCTATGCTTTCAGTATTACGGGCCCATACTACCTTCCAAATCTATTCGTACTTTCCTCAAGGCTTGCCTTGACTCCACCAAGTCCCTTTCACTACTACTTCTCTCGCGCTAAACTCATCCTAGGCTTGCCCTAGGGTAATCACCGACCTACTCTCTGCCATCAGCTACGTAAGAAATCCCTACTACCTCTCCCTAACTAGCTCGCGAATACCATTACATATTATTAAGACCAGATAATTCTTCGAATTAGAGGTCTCTTCCTACAACGGTTAGACTCAAACAAGAGCTTTGAAATAGGACTAAACCTAACCTTCTGAAATTATTTAGTCCTCATAGTATGTAACTTAACATATTCGTTTACTAGTTAGTTAAAGATAACTAGAATTCCTAAAATCACAAAGCAAGCAACATTCAAGCATTGAGTAATCAAAACCAAGCATATCCTAATCAGGCCATCATATCACTGACTAATTAGTACTAGCATGCAGTTCATAAGCTCATATAGTAGGCATACAAGGTATCCTTCCTGGATCCTTAGCCCTAATCTAACATGCAGTTCTCATACACATATAGCAGGCATACAAGGCATCCTTCCTAGTGTAACATCCATAGAAATTCACAAAAACTTCAACTTTTTCAAACATCCAAAAACCATTAATTATTACAAAGTGTTTTCAAAATAGTTCCATATCAGAGTATCCCAGGAATCCCAGTCATAAAAATGTGAGGATGTGTACGTCACGCCTTCGCCTTCCGTGAACGTTTGAAGTACCTGAAACAATAATCCATAAATGTAAGCTCGAAGGCTTAGTGAGTTACCCCCAAAATACCCATACACAATAATACACATATAATAACATCATACTATGGGCCCAATCAACCATCGGGTGGGAATGCCAACATACTAGGGGTCCAGTCACCCTTCGGGTTGGAATACCCCAGGCCCTCAACCATCGGGTGGAATGCCAACATACTATGGGTCCAGTCAACCTTCGGGTTGGAATACCCCAGGCCCTCAACCATCGGGTTGGAATGCCAATATACTATGGGTCCGATCATCCTCAGGATGGAATACCCTTGGCCCACAACCATCGGCTTGGAATGCCCACATACTATGAGTCCAATCATAGTATGTGGGCCCTCAACCATCGGGTGGAATGCCAACATAATATGGGTCCAGTCAACCTTCGGGTTGGAATACCCCAGACCCTCAACCATCGGGTTGGAATGCCAATATACTATGGGTCCGATCATCCTCAGGATGGAATACCCTCGGCCCACAACCATCGGGTTGGAATGCCCACATACTATGAGTCCAATCATCATCGAGATGGAATACTCTCCACTACCGATCATCATCGGGCCCTGCCCCGCATCGGATTAGTTCTGACATCGGCCCCCGCCCGACATCAGGTCCCGCCCGACATCAAACAGTGTCCGGCATCGGGCCCCGCCCGACATCGAGCAAATCTCGGAATACATGTCAACATATCAACAATAGACATATAATAATCACATAATGCAAGCATACAAACATTTCTCGGGCCCTGCCCAACATCGGACCGTAATTCGAAAAACATATACACATATAATCATATAAACATTCATCGGGCACTGCCTGACATCGGACCAAAGTCCAGAAGCACACTCATACAAACACATGCAAGAATCACGAAGACATCAAGCATACATACATTCCTTCGGCATTGCCCGACATCGGACATTATCCGGAATCATATTAACATTCATCAGGAACCGCCCGACATCGGACCTTAATCCAGAACATATAATCATACAAATATACGGGCCAACCTTGGTGCCTTAGACCCGTTCACACATGAGGAGACTCACCTCAAATGCCGGATTGAAAGTTGAATGTCTCTGCTCTGCAGCTGGCTCTACTCAACCCCCTCAGAAAGTTGCCAAATACAGACGAGATCCCTGATCTAGTGCTTCTCCTCGAGCTCAATGACCTTCTTGTTCTTCCAAGTCCTTATCCAAGCACAAGAACACACAAAAATCCACTCAAAACATCTAGTTTCTCAAGAAGGAGCTCGCAATACAGTTTAGGGTTTTAGGGAGGCTGATGAGGGGCTGAAGGAAGGGTTAAGTCCTTTAAATATGAACCAGAACCCTGAAAATTAGGGTTTCATCCCAGCCGGTCTACTCGTCGAGTTGAGTTCTCTCAACTCGTTGAGTAGGTCACTTATTTACGCGCCCCTTATAATCTCTACTCGACGAGTTTGGGGCTACCAACTCGTGGAGTTGCCCTATGAAAAAGAATAAATTAGGCTTTTAAATACATACCAGGATCCAAACGTTACAATATGAGCCAAACCCTAAAAATTAGGGTTTGCATGCCTGGCTCGTACGCCCTGCGTACATATGTACGCCCAACGTACTAGGGCGCGCCCTAGTACGGTCAGCGTACATACGTACGCATGGCGTACTCCCCTAATATCCAATATTACAAAAATGCCACAAGGGCCTTCACTGCACACTTTCTTTTACTTAGGGTCCAAATTACAAAATAATAAAATTATAGGGTCAAAATTAGAAGTACCTTATCATCGGGATGTTACAGGCGCTCTGGATTATTTGGTCCTATAGGAACTCAGTTATTTTATGGTTGTCTAAGTGTAAAAAGCAGTTCTTGTTCGATAGTATTGTTGATTTTTCCTTTCATTGGTTTTCCTATAGGAACAATAAGACTTGCATCAACTGGACTACGTGGTTGCATAATCCGTTGATGCTTTAATTTTGTATTTTTTGCTAGCTCCTAGCTAGCTTTCTTTCTGAATTATAAATTTTGCTGTCGTTCAAAAAAAAATCACTACAAGAATCTAAACCTATGGCAACGACATTTATGCCGATGACACCTCTCGTCGCTACAAATTCAGCTATGTCGACGACAAGTTGTCGGAACAAGGTTTATCAACTTTCTTTGACCTGAAAAATCTATGCCGACAACACGTGTCGCTATGGCTTTGTCAGGAACAAAAAGTAATTACGCGATTTTCTCAATACCTATGCCGACGACACATCGTCGGTATACGTATGAAAATTATAATTACAATTTATTAATATACCGTGTGGCAGAAAAAAATGTTGTTGTTTTTGGGAAAACGACAAGTCATTGGCATAACATGTGGCTATCTGCATGAAATATATCTCGGCAACAAGTCGTTGGCACAAATAATTATTTTTAATTAATTTTCATTAATCCTATACTGACGACAAGATAGGGTGCGAATGTCTTGGGTACCCTAAACCCTTGTCATCCACAATCACACACACAAAGTTTCATCGCAAAAACTCTCTCGATCGGATTTCACCGCCTTTCACCGGTATAAAACTTCATCCGTTATACTTTTGCTGATTTCACACATTGTTGGTCCGATTTTGTGTTTTTTGTGGTTAAAAACTTCATCAAAAATCATTTCCGACGAAACATATGCCAATGACTTGTCGTCGTTATAGAGGGTACTTATACCGACGACAATTTCCATCTATGGAGACTAGTCTATGCTGACGACTCTCAGCCGAGGACTTGTCGTTGGTATAGCGACGACTTGTCATCCACATAGGGTTAAAAAAATATCATCGACACAAGGTGGTATTCTTGTAGTGATTCAATAATTTCTTGGTATTATAGGGTGTATTTCTAAGAGTGCTTGGGTTACGGACAAGTTACTCACATGCTATTGAGTACAAACAAAAGGTTACAAGAAAAATGAAATCTAGGCCTACTAAGGCTATACGTTTCAGGTTATTCGCATTTCAGAAATGATCTTGGTATTTCTAAATGAAACTTTACACATATAGACATAAAATCTAAGTAGATTACCGTATAAAATTAGCATGGTTTATAAACTCCGTAATTTTCTTTTCAAAAAACTTCAAAATTGAGTTTTAATTTTTACGGATTAGCATTCCGATATGAGATGTGGGCTCAAGTTATATAAAACCGGACCATAAAAATGAGTTTGTTGTGTTTTCATCGGGTCTAGAATACCCAATTTCAAAGCAGTTGATCATTTTTTTTTAAAAAAAAAATTAAACTTATTAGAGTTCACACATCTTTAAATAATTTTTATTAATGATTCCGTCTAGTCTTAACATCACCCAAAAAATAAATAAATAAATAAATAAAAATAATCCTTTGGGCCGTAAAGACAAGGAGTCCCCATCTTGGTTGTCTCGAAAGTACTCTGCCCTAAAAAACCCCGGCGCAAGATCTCTAGTTGCCCTTTTGTGATCAAACCCTCAGGCTTCTTCAGCCGCCCTCCTTATAAAACAGTACAAACGCACACTACTTGGTGCATACCATCCTATCATATTCATAGCCCATCATGTCTGAATTTGTGGTAGGGCCATCGCCTTGTTCGCTTAATCATAAACATGACATGTTCTTGAGTTTTAGAGGTGATGACGATCGTTATATTTTCACCGGTTCCTTTATGAAGACACACAAGGGTGTCAACATTGTCATCTACGTGGATGATGAAACGATCATCTACGTGGATGATGAAACGATTAAAACCGCTGAAGATCTGAAACCAGAATTGGTGATTGGTATCAAAGAATCCAGGGCATCTATTATTGTGTTGTCCAAGAACTACGCAAGTTCTTCCTGGTGCCTTGACGAGTTGGTATTGATCCATGAGCAACTTACGTATCCCGCCTATTTGTTATCCCCATCTTCTATCATGTTGAGCCCATCCATATCAGGAAATATCAGGAAGCAAGAATACATTTAGAGAACTTAAAGTGAAGGTAGCCACTTTCTTACCTATATGTCCATAAAATGTCAAGATTCCCTTCTTCCTATACATTTTTAATAAGTTTCTTCAATATCATCAATTATATGTATTTTTTATTATTTATTTAAGTTGGATACAGAAAGAAGCATAACACTAAATCAAGGTTTTCAGTTAACTAATCTTATAAATTAGTTCATGTTATCATGTAGTTGATGTGAAGAGGTTAAGAAGAATAGTAGCTTAATACAATATAATTTCGATTTGGAACTTTGGATAAATTAACTCCAAATCTGATTTGTTAGTTTTATACATGGTGTTTGCACTTATTAAAATCTAATTTTCAGGTTGGAGATGAGTTTATTGATGAAATTGTTAAATATATCCACTGTAGATTACAAGTATCCTTAAGGAGTGCTCTTCCACAACTTATATGGAGGTACAACTACATTAAATTTGTCACTTAATGATTGAAAGATAGTTCCTCATATACGGGTGACATACTCACTATTTTGGGTATGAGTGGGATCGGGAAGACATCTTTAGCAAAATATGTCTATTTGTCATATTTTCATAAATTTGTTACAAGTAGCTATACTGAAGATATCAGTAGGAGATGTGATGAAAAATTTAGTGGGTTTCTTGATTTACAAAAACAAATTTTGGTGACATTACAAAAACAAGTCCAATTCAAGTTAATGTTGTTTCTATGTACACCTCAATGATAGAGAATGCAGTAGATGGTAAAAAGGTGTTTATAGTTCTTGGCAATATTGATAATCATTACTTGGAAGCAAATTTTTTGATCTGGGAAGCAAAATTATAATAACAACAAATTACACATGGTTGACAATTAGTTGTGCTCTATTGAAAACATAGAAAATATTTGAGGCCTCATTCTTGACATGAGAAGATGGATGTTTGAACAAGAAAAGATGAGGAGTCATTCCAAGTGTTGAAACAAGAAAAGATGTGTACTTGTTAGTATTATCATTTTATGCATGTTTAATGTTTTTTGTTTTCTCCATATACATGTTTATCACATTTTAAATATTTTTTGCATCCCTCTTTTAGTGTGTGTGGTCATGTATGTCTCGTTTTTATGGCTTAGTACTAGAGGCAAAGGGGGTGGGAAGTTAAAGTGGAAGAATTGGGTGTAATGCTATATTTACTTTATTTTCTCCTGTATATTTGTCGTAGCCTCTGCTTGGCTTGGTTTTTATAAAACTTGTGATGTTAAAAAAAGAAGATGGATAATCTACTATTGCTAGAATGGGTCTTATGAGAAATTTTCAAAAGAACTAAGATGGTTGTATATGCATGGGTTTCCTAAACTGTATATAACTCCCTTTTTATTGTTCTTACATTTTGAGTTGATGAAATCCACTACTATTCTAACTAATCTCCATATGTTTCTTGGAAGTTTTGTGAATCAGTTGACGCATGTGTTGAACTTGTACTCATTGATCTTAGCTTCTGCAAGATCCTTGCAAAACTTCCAAGAAACATATGTAAGTTGACGAAGGTTCAAACACTATTTCTAAATGGTTGTAATCTTGGTGAACATGCCATTTTGGAGGATACAAAGTGATTTGCAGTTCTTTGGATTTTGTGAAGCTTTGGATCAATTGATCAAGTTATTTTTATATGTCGGATCTAGATCAAAACCCAACTCACTTAGAGGTCTAACCACAACTAATCTGTCAATCACATGATATATATATTGAAAAATGATTCTCAATTACTTTAGTTGCTTTTGAATCATAAGATGTTGAGTAAATTACAATTTTCGTAACTGTGGTTCTGTCAAATTCGCATATTTAGTCCAACCTTTGAAAATTTGACAAAACGTATCATTGTGGTTTGAAGAAATTGCAGTTCACATCCTTAATCTACTTAAAAAGACTATTTTACCCTTATATATATATATATATATATATATATATATATATATATATATATATATATATATATATATATATATATATATATATATATATATATATATATATATATATATAAGTAGCCAACTTAGATGCAAAGAGAACACATTAATATGATTACTATGAGATGGTTATGAATGGAATTTTATAAAAAAAAATATGATTCCATTCTATGATTTTCCTTTATAGTTGGACCATGTGATATAAATCTAATCAATTGGCCTAAAAAGACGGGTATACCCTAATTGTTAGTAAAACGTGTTTTTTTAAAACCTATGTGTTTTTCTAGATCACTTGGTATGATCAAGCGGTTTAATATCAATACACAAGAAAACGCTACTTGGTAAGTATAAGGTTTTTTTTGTCATTTTTGCTCATAATTTGTGTCTTTTTTCATATTCTTGTTTACAACACATTAAGACGCTCATTAAGAGCTTAGTTCTCTAATTTCTTTTTTCAAAGAAATGTCTGTTTTAAAATGTGTGTATATAAAAAATTTTGACGTGCACGTATGCAAATCAAGATTCGTATATACGCATATTTTGAAATAGATGTTTTTTTTTTTCAAAAGTGATTAAACTCCAGCGACTAAAGTGTCGCAAAATTTGCTTTGAAAAAAAAATCATACAAAAACACGCCTCTCAAAATGATCCTAACTAACTAACTATATATATATATATATATATATATATATATATATATATATATATATATATATATATATATATATATATCAGTGTTGCAGAAATCGGCCTATGCGGCCGATTAATCGGCGCTAGGCGGACCTCTACCACTTATGTTTATTGCTAATCGGTTACTATAATCGGGTTTGGTCAATGCCGGTCAAAGTCGGACCTAATCGGAGATAATCGGACATAATCAGATCTAGGCACTCTAAACGGTCAAACGCGGTCAACGGAGATTCAAAAAAAATTGAGGGGCAAAAGGGTCATACCGAAAACTTTTCTAGGGTTCATTCCTCTTCTAACTCATTATAACATTACAGGCAAAATGTATTCTCCCCTAACTCAACTATGAAGAACTGAGAAATTGAACCACTGACGGTCGCATTCTCGCCTTTTGCTCTATTACATCGTCGTCGCCTTTTGCTCCGGTAGATCGTCGTGGCATTCTCAACTTTGAAATACCTCTGTGTACAAAATATGCAGTCGCCTTCTCCTCCGACGCTGTGTACTACTCCGGATTAGATCTTCTCGACTTCGAAATACTCATCGATAAACGTTAGTTCTTCTCAAGCTACTTTTGGTTGTTCTTTCTTCATGAAACTTATCATATAAGCTGTAAGGCTAAAACTCATCTTGAGTCCTACTTCCAGAAAAGTCACCATAGTCGCCATGATTACAGTTTCGTTTTGAAGGAAGACCCGTATTGATTGGAGCTTGGAAAGGAATGAAAACCCAGATTTGTTTTTCAACTGTTAAATATGTTTTTCTTCTATTTTCGATTACCTGTTTGATAATTGATTTTGGTTTACACATCGTTGATATCACCTGGCTTGCTTAAAGGTTTGTTTGGTGATCGGTTTCTTTATACGTTTAGCTTTGATTATTTTCCAGATTGGATCTATTCTTACCAAAAGATAAAGATGGCCCAAAACATGTCATTATCTTTGTGACGGGTGGAGCATGGATGATAGGGTAAGCAAACAGTTAAGCTTCATGTGTTCATTATCATTGTGGTGCCCATATATCTTCTTGTGTACTCTTTCAGCAGGTTATTAAGGAATCCAAAGGAGAGACCATGTCTCTCAGATCAAAGCTTATTTTGGTTTATCCGGAATGTAAACAAACATGATTTATACTATAAACAGATGTTAACATGTATACCAACATTATATTCTGGTTAAACAAGTATACTAACATACCAACATTAGCTCTATTATTGCTTGATTCTGATTTGTATTTTGGCGATTTTAGTCTCCTCCCCTGTTAAGTTAACTTAACAGGTTAATTGTTAAGTTGTAAAACACTTGAAGTTGTTTTTTAAGCATGATGTGAGCATCCTGAATTTGGTTAATTATAATACTCGTATGGTCTATTGGGTGTTGAATTTAAGGTTCATAGATTAAGGATCACATTGATATTGCAGGTTAAATTAAATAGCTTTTGGCAGCAATCGATTGGATGTATTACTCAAAAGGATATTTTAGGAACAAAATCAAGTGACGGGGATTAAACTTATTATAAAACTTTTATGCTTACTTACTAATATTTTTAGGATTAAAGTTAGATTTATAAACTTTTGAATAATTTTCTTAATAATTAATGGTCCCCGATTAATCCCCGTCTATCTGATTAATCCCTAGACCCCAGTCGACCGACTAGCTAACGTCTAGCGTTTTCTGCAACCTTGATATATATATATATATATATATATATATATATATATATATATATATATATATATATATATATATATATATATAGGGATGGTTAGAATAAAAACAATAAATAGTGTGAAAACATAAGAACACTACTTTTATGTTATTCTTGTACAAAGAATTTTGTATCAACAACTTTATGTTACTATTCAACAATGAATAAATGAATAAGTATACGTTAAAACTAATATTAAAATTTACTAAAATAATGCACATATACAAAATTTTTAATAAAATAATAACATTCTAAAGAATATATAAATAATCAAACATTAATATTCACATTAGAATTACTTCAACAATACAAATATACAAATTCATTGCAGAATAATAATACAAACATAGAGTTTTTATGTTTTCAGATTATTTACGGTTTTTTATTTGAACTTAGTTTTATATATATATATATATATATATATATATATATATATATATATATATATATATATATATATATCACATTAATGTGTGACAACAGCCAAATTTGGTCCAACAAAGTCAATAAAAGTCAACCCGATCAACTCAACTTGTATTATAATTTGAAGAGAAACGAGTCATTTCCTCATACTTCTATTGTCCTATTGACAAGTTATAATACAAAATACATCTCTTATTGGTAATTATTGAATAAACCCTAATTTGGATTGGTAAACAAGAATTCGATAATCTAATCACATATTATTTGAGTATAAATAATATTCATAACTTAATGTAGTGGAATTCATAAATCTTATACTACGTGACAAATTCATAGCAAAGGCTACAAACACAAGTTTTTGGTGAATTCGTCACCAGATGCGACAAAGTCTATACCCGACTAAACACCCAATTTTTAACGAAAAGAACTTGGAAATTCAACCAAATTTCCATGCAACATATTATTATTTTGATAATAATGTTTGTTATAATAATTTGAATTTTTATAATTCAAATTAAATATTTTATACATCTTTTATACCATACTTTATATTAAAAACACATCATTTTTATAAAAATGCCAAGAGTTTATAAAGGTTTGACTTTTTTATAAGAAGTTACTAGTTACAAAGATGTTCCCCCATCATAGACAAACATCCTTTATGTCATTGCACTAACCCTAGACTAGTACCTCATTCTTATCAAACTTTTTATAAAAAAAAGCCACTCTTTTATAAAAATGCCTAGATTTTTATAAAAGAAAATGCTAGTTGACTTTATGGGTTATGAAACCAAAAATTAGACAAGATGGTCCCCTCTTTTCCAACAAGTCTAATCTCCCATACATATCCATGCATGCCCACCCCCTTGCCCCTCTCTCTCTTAACTTCGGCCCAAAGGCCATTCTTCTTCTATCATCTTCATCATTTTCATCTTCTTCTCCATGAAAAGCTCTCATTTTCCCTAGCAAATTTCTTCCAAGTTGATTCTTGAGTTTTTGGTAAGTACTTCCTTCTTAATCTGGTGATTCTACACACTTATAAACTAGTTTCAACCCATTTACACACATTATCATGTGTTACTATTCATAGGATCTTCAAATCTTCAAGTGTTTTTCATGTGTTCTTAACTTGAATCTTTCCATCTACAACCTTCTATCTACCAAGAAAACACATAAGGTGAGTTCATACCTCTATATTTTCGATTTTTCCAAGTTTTAGGGGGAGAATACAAGTAAACTTGTAAGAATATACAAGTTGTTATGAATGCATACTTATATGTTGTGTAAATATGCTAAATACAATAAATAATGTTATTACCTAGCATTATGAACATTTAGATGTAAAAGTTAGTTTAAAATACAAAACTATGAAAAGCAAGTATAAACATGCTATATGTTCTTAAGAAAAATTATAAACACAAAACCATAAAAACTAGGGTTTTTATGAACCTAATATGACTTTCTAGCAAAAATGGTTATAACCAAGTTATTACACCATTTTTGTGGGACATAAACCAAAATATGTTATTTGGGACATATTTTCTTGAAACTAGTTAAAATCATCAAAGATTTAGTTTTACAAAAAGAAAACTTAAAATCTTTCATTTTATGTAAAAGTGAGTTTTCTAACAAAAATGGTCATAACTAGGTTATGGTACCATTTTTGTGGGTTTTGACCAAAAATATGTTGTTTAAAACATATAAAGATAACTTGACTTAAATATCACAAAAACGTAAAAATAAGTTTTAGATAGTTATATTCACTATTTACCGTTTCTGACGTAAAAAGTCAAAAACTATAAAAATGGACATTTTCATACTAAGGATTCACTTATTGGTGCTAGATGTAAAATACTTGTTATTTATGAATATTTAAGCATGTTAGCCTCTATATGTGTGTGTGTGTATATATATATATATATATATATATATATATATATATATATATATATATATATATATATATAGGTACAAATCAAATATTATAATAAACTATAATAAGTATAGTTTATGGGACATTAACACTATTGTAACATTTTTTAACAAGACGGATAATTATATAAAGATTCGTATAATTATTTTATATTATTTTATTATCATGGAAAAGTGATAATTATACATACAAAGGTTTTCATTACAACATAACGTAAATGCGTTGGATAAATATTGTGAGTCAAAGTCTTCATCATACCCATCAGAGTACCTACAAAAGTCATGTATTATAACCAGAATCTCCCATAAGAGAGCATGATACTTGTGTATAGATCTATACGAGACTGACAATCCTGCACCTAAGCTGCTTGCAACAGCTAGACCGGCAGGTATGGGGTGACAAATGTCTAACATTCTGACGTCTGAAGAAGGTCGTAACAAGACATCTATGTCTTAGCACGGTTATAATAACTCACATGGGGAAATCAACGATACATTTAGTTTATGGGGAAAAATACATTCAAATGGTTTTATATAAGATTAAAACTACATATTACTATTTTAAGTATGGAAATACTTGTACATTTCGGTCTTAGGGTTTCTGAGACAACACTCATTTTTAAGGAAAATATTGGATTTTTCTGGAAACGAACACTATCATTTTACAAGGAAAGACTTACAATTCTTCATACAAACTCTTATGAACTCACCAACTTAATTGTTGACACTTTATAAAACTACTTGTATTCTCAGGAAATCATTAAAACATGTAACTACATGCTTTTGAGTATGGGATGCTAAGGCGTCAAACATATCTTTTTTATCATTATATTGTAATTGATTTTGAAACATGCAACTCTTACAACAATGTACCTCTTTCAATTTTATTTATGATGGTTGTATTTTGCTTTGATCACTATTATACATATTGTTGTGATACGATTCATGAAGTCATCCACCCCGGACGTTTCCGCCATCCTAGTTTGGGGGTGTGACAGATTGGTATCAGAGCATTGTTTATAGTGAACTAAGCATATCAAACCATATAAGATTTACTACTATAAATAGAATGGGACTAAAACGCTCTGACTAAAACATTCGGTACAAATATACTTTTACAAAATAATGATATATATATTTTTTATTATATAAAGCATAAGTACTTACATACATACTAGAATGGTGTCATAACAAGAACAATACAAAAGTAATAAGATAAGTTGAACACTACGAGTAGGCCTTGGGGTATGTAATTAGATCTGGGAGAAATATAGTCTGATCAACTATATTTATCCAAGATGCGAGTAACATATGCCTGGGAATACTTGTGGTGAACAACAAGTCTAAAACTTGTTGGATTAGGTGTCTAAGCCCATAACTATAGTTGGTATATACTTGAACCAATAGTAGCATGGTCCTTTTGGGTTTCCTTCATCATAGCAATTTGATTGGATGAATAATAGAGAAAGTAGTTAATTATGATTTATTAATATATTATAAGAATAATATATTAATTGAGAACTCATATTATTTAATTAGTATTGATCAATAATTAATTTGGAATTAATTTAGTGATAAAAAAAGACTGATTAAATTAATGGGGACTGATTATGTAAATCAGTAATAATTGTAGTTTGGGCTGATGAACCCTATTGGTAAATGGGTGGACGAAAACTTTATGGGAGTACATAAAGATTTTGTCCAAGGCTTACCATAAAGGAGTCTATATGTTGCTTAGGGCCTAAGCAAGGGGATTAGGGTTTCCAAGTTGATAACCCTAGCAACCTCAACTATAAAAGGAACCCCCTGGACTCCTAAAATCGGCCTATAAATTCTAAGAAGAACGCCTAGCCAAAATTTGGAGCCTCATACCTCTCTCTCATATTCCTACATTGCTACTTGGTGTTTGTGACTCATTAGAGGTGCAACAATTGAGGCACTAAGATCTTGAAGGTCAAGATCTACTAGCTACAAGGAAAAGGTATTCTTCTAACTATTGTTTAGTTATGATTTTCGAAAATAGCTTGCTAGTTTAGGGTTTTGCTTTGGATTAATTATTTTCATGTATAACTTGAGAAAACCTAGATCCAAAACATTAGGGTTGCATGTACACCATAGGAATGTTGTAGTGCTCAAAACCCATCAGTGGTATCAGAGCTTAGGGTGTTTTTCTGTTATATTTGATGCCATGGTTAATTGTTCAAAGCTGAAAGAAGTCAAAATCTGGACTCTGCCAGATGAACTCAACGAGTCCAATGTGGGACTCGACGAGTTGGT